TTGAACGTTTCAAGGCAAGACTTGTGGCCAAAGGATTCTCACAGAAATTCGGAGTTGACTATGAAGAAACTTTCGCACCGGTGGCCAAGTTCACATCGATTCGTGTGGTGCTCAGTATGGCGGCTAAGTACGGCCTAATGCTACATCAGATGGACGTCAAGACAGCGTTTCTTAACGGCTCCCTCAACGAAGACATCTACATGGACCAGCCGGACGGATACCTGGATGCAACACAGCCGGACTATGTGTGCAAGCTAAAGAGATCACTCTACGGCTTGAAGCAATCGCCTCGCATTGATGAACTTTAGACTTCTTGGTCCGAGTGCAAAACGCAAAGTGAATATATATTTATAATAGGTACTTAGTTCGCAACTTTGAATACTACCTCTAAGCCTATTATTCGCAGTGACGTCATCCAGTGACGTCACCCACTGACGTCACCCACTGACGTCATCCAGTGACGTCATTTCCTGACTTCGCCCTTACTGGTACATACCGGTACCCACCGGTATAGCGAAGCTTGGTCTTCCACTTGCTTCAACACTTGACGCAGCTTGACGAGGTGTCTTCTTCACAGCCGCTGTCTTTTCAACACTCCCTCTCGACTCGTTAGCTGCGGCACCATGGATCCCAAGTCGATCGCGAATGTTTTCAAATTGTACAGCGGCGATCGGCTTGGTCATCATGTCTGCCAGCATATCTTGAGTCGGGCAATACTCCAAAACGACTTCACCTGATTCCACCTTCTCACGCACAAAATGGTAGCGTATGTCGATGTGTTTTGTTCTCTTATGGAACTCCGGGTTCTTGGCGAGAGCGATTGATCCTTGGTTGTCTTCATACATCTTGATCGCTTCGTCGCTTGTCATCTCACCAAGTTCCCCCAAAAGCACTTTGAGCCATACTGCTTCTTTGGTTGCTTCGGAAAGCGCCATGTATTCTGCTTCTGTTGAAGATAGCGCGACCGTCCGTTGTTTCTGGCTTTTCCAGCTGATGCATCCTCCGCTCATCATGAGCACATAGCCGCTTGTACTTCGTCTTGACTCAATGTCGCCGGCCCAGTCTGCGTCGGTGTACCCGCAGATACGGCTTCCTTCTTCACGTGTAAACTCAAGACCATGATTGGGCGTTGCTTGCAGGTATCTCAGCACACGCTTCAAAGCTTGCCAGTGAGTCGGGCATGGGTCGGACGAGAACTGGGATAATGATCCCACTGCAGCAGCTAGATCCGGACGTGTGGCGACCATGAGATACATGATGCCTCCGACAGCACTTCGATATGGCACGTTGCACATGGTGTCTTCGTGCTTGCATTCTTGTTCACACATGTTCTTGGTTAGCTTCAGGCCGGGATCTTGAGGCGTCTTCACTGGCTTGCTGTTATCCATTCCGAACTTGGTTAACACGGACTTGAGAAACTTGGTTTGTTGTACAGTCACCATTCCCGTCTTACGGTCGTTCTTGATCTCCATGCCGAGAAAGTAATCGAGCTCACCGAGATCCGTCATTTCGAAGCGTTTGCTCAGCGCCATCTTGGTTGACTTGAGGAGTTCGTTGTTGCTGCTGGCCAGGATGAGATCATCGACGTAGAGCACCACGAGAATCATGTCTTGGTCGTCTCGCTTGATGTAGATGCAGTGGTCCGATTCGCACTTCTTGAATCCCATCTTGATCATGAACCCATCGATTGTTTGGTTCCACATGCGAGGCGATTGCTTCAAGCCGTAGAGTGATCTCTTTAGCTTGCACACATAGTCCGGCTGTGTTGCATCCAGGTATCCGTCCGGCTGGTCCATGTAGATGTCTTCGTTGAGGGAGCCGTTAAGAAACGCTGTCTTGACGTCCATCTGATGTAGCATTAGGCCGTACTTAGCCGCCATACTGAGCACCACACGAATCGATGTGAACTTGGCCACCGGTGCGAAAGTTTCTTCATAGTCAACTCCGAATTTCTGTGAGAATCCTTTGGCCACAAGTCTTGCCTTGAAACGTTCAACTTCGCCATCTTGATTCTCCTTTACACGAAAAACCCATCGGCACCCGATGGCCTTGCGACCTTTCGGAAGAGGCACGATTTCCCACGTGTCGTTTCTCTGAAGCGAATCGAACTCCGAGTCACACGCTTCTTTCCACTTGCCGGAGTCGCTTGATTCCATCGCCGACTTGAATGTAGTCGGCGTTTCCCCCACTGAATCAACGATGTAGGCTGCTTCAAAATCCATTGCAGCCGCTGACACATGCTCAAGCGACGGACCTCTGTATGTTCTTCGCTTGGGACTTGGAATGACGGTAGCTTTCTCAAGTGATTGAGTGCGCGTGTGTCTCTTGATGTTGCTCTTCGAAGACCTGGTGTCTTCGTTGTCATCGTCGCTCGAGTCCATGTCGTCGTCAGTTTTACCTTCTTCTTTTTCTTCGTCCTCATCATGATCATCAAACTCAACGACACTTGACTCATCGTTGTAGTTGCGCGGACCTTCATCAAACTTGTCTTCCATGAATGTGGCATCGCGACTGATCTTGATCGCTCCTGTTGACACTTCCTCAAATCGATATGACTTCTGGTGTTCGGCGTATCCCAGGAAACGACAGAGTGATGACTTGGAGTCGAACTTCGCGCGTTTGTCTTGAGGCACTTGAACATACGCGTGGCATCCAAACACTTTAAGGTTGGCCAGAATCGGTTTCTTCATCGTCCACACTTGATATGGAGACTTGTCTTGGTGAATGGCACGTGTTGGACAGCGGTTTCGAAGAAACATCGCCGTCATCACTGCTTCACCCCAGTAGCTCTTTCCCAGTCCAGCGTGTTCCATCATGCAACGCGCACACTCGACCAGCGTGCGATTCATTCTCTCAGCTACTCCGTTTAGCTGAGGAGTATATGGGGGTGTGAACCTTTGTTGTATTCCCCGTTCCGCGCAGAATCGTGCCAGCTTGTCGGACTTGTATTCACCCCCATTGTCGCTTTGAAGGTACTTCACGCGCTTTCCGGTTTGCGTTTCGGCCATCGCAGCGTATTCCATGAACTTCGCCGCAACTTCAGATTTGCTCTTGAGCAGATAGACGACACAGTATCTTGACTTGTCATCAATGAATGTCACGAAGTACCGTTTTCCACTGAAAGTTGCCATCGACATCGGTCCGCATACGTCGCTGTGAATCACTTCGAGGAGTTTGGAGGTGCGAGCTGTAGTGTTTGATTGGAAGCGCACTCGAGTCTGTTTTCCCAGAGCACAACCTTCACACACGTCCCACTTCTTCACCGAAGATATGTCGATGCCAATTCCAATGTTCTTCGTCACGATGCAATTGAGTCCATCGTGACCTATGTGGCCAAGCCGAAGGTGCCAGAGGTACGACTTGGTGCCCCCTTGACATCCCGACGACTTGGCTGCATTTGCTTGTTCCGGCGCCACTGGAGTCATTTGCAGCTTGAACAGTCCTTTACCTTCACGGGCACCAATTTTCCACTTGGTCCCTTTCGCTTCTCCATAGCACCCATCCTTCGTGAACGTCACTGGGCCGACATCCTTGGTGAAGCGGCCGACCGAGAACAGGTTTCTGGATAACTTTGGGATGTGCCACACGTTTGTGAGCACACCTTTCTTCATCCCTTGGGGTGTCTTCATCGACATGACAATGTCCCCACTGCCGATTGCTTGGACGATTCCATCATCCGCGAGATGGACATCCACAGCGTCAAACCCCTTGTAGTTCCGCATGAACTTCTTGGAGCACGTCATGTGCTGCGTCGCCCCGGAGTCGACCAGCCAGATGTCGCTCGATTTCGCAGATGTCGTTTCACCGATCGAAAAGAGGTAGTCGCCCGAGTCTTCTTCTTGAGCGACGTTTGCACGTTGTGATCGATAGCGGTCGCCGCTGTCTTGAGCACGCTGTGGCCGGTGTCTCTCCGTGTTTTCTTGGATGCGCGAGGGGCACTCCGCCATCCAGTGACCAATCTTTCCGCAATTGTGGCACGGCCAGGACTTCTTCACTGGTCGCCCTTTGCGCTGATTGTCCCTTGTGATGAACGCTTGACCTTGCGAAGCTTCATCACCTTTACTTCCTTGCTCCTTCCGCTTCATTTCTTCATGAAGCAGTCGAGACGTCACGAGCTCCCAGCTAAGAGTGTCTGAGCGCGACTCCAAAGCTGTGATCAAGAATTGATACGAGTCACTCAGGCTGCCGAGGAGTGTGATCACCAGATCGTCCTCGCAGACTGGAGCCCCCACCGCTTCTAGCTGTTCCGCCAGCGTCTTGAGCTTGTTGATGTGTTCGAGCACATCGTCGCCTTCTTCCATCATTGTCGTGAAGAAGCGACGGCGCAAGAACAGCTTGTTGGCAAGACTCTTCTTCTCGAAGTGGTCTTCCAACCTTGACCATGCGTCGCATGCACCACTTGCCGACCGGACCAACGGTAGCTGGGAATCTTCCATGGCTAGACAGATCACTGCCATCGCCTTTCTTGACTTCCTCTTGTACGTCGCTTGGTCCAACTGAGTCTCGCACTGTTCCGCCTTGATCTCACCGCTGACGACCTCCCATAGGTCCCGTTCCTCCAGCACCATCTGCATCTTGAACTTCCAGGCGTGGAAGTTAGTTCCATCGAACTTGGAGATGCGGAGGGAGGAGGCGTCCATGGCAGCTAAGCTTGAATTGTTGGCGGTTTCAGAGTCTGACGAACTTGGGCTCATAACCTGATGAACTTTAGACTTCTTGGTCCGAGTGCAAAACGCAAAGTGAATATATATTTATAATAGGTACTTAGTTCGCAACTTTGAATACTACCTCTAAGCCTATTATTCGCAGTGACGTCATCCAGTGACGTCACCTACTGACGTCACCCACTGACGTCATCCAGTGACGTCATTTCCTGACTTCGCCCTTACTGGTACATACCGGTACCCACCGGTATAGCGAAGCTTGGTCTTCCACTTGCTTCAACACTTGACGCAGCTTGACGAGGTGTCTTCTTCACAGCCGCTGTCTTTTCAACACGCATGTGGAACCATACAATCGATGGGTTCATGATCAAGATGGGATTCAAGAAGTGCGAATCGGACCACTGCATCTACATCAAGCGAGACGACCAAGACATGATTCTCGTGGTACTCTACGTCGATGATCTCATCCTGGCCAGCAGCAACAACGAACTCCTCAAGTCAACCAAGATGGCGCTGAGCAAACGCTTCGAAATGACGGATCTCGGTGAGCTCGATTACTTTCTCGGCATGGAGATCAAGAACGACCGTAAGACGGGAATGGTGACTGTACAACAAACCAAGTTTCTCAAGTCCGTGTTAACCAAGTTCGGAATGGATAACAGCAAGCCAGTGAAGACGCCTCAAGATCCCGGCCTGAAGCTAACCAAGAACATGTGTGAACAAGAATGCAAGCACGAAGACACCATGTGCAACGTGCCATATCGAAGTGCTGTCGGAGGCATCATGTATCTCATGGTCGCCACACGTCCGGATCTAGCTGCCGCAGTGGGATCATTATCCCAGTTCTCGTCCGACCCATGCCCGACTCACTGGCAAGCTTTGAAGCGTGTGCTGAGATACCTGCAAGCAACGCCCAATCATGGTCTTGAGTTTACACGTGAAGAAGGAAGCCGTATCTGCGGGTACACCGACGCAGACTGGGCCGGCGACATTGAGTCAAGACGAAGTACAAGCGGCTATGTGTTCATGATGAGCGGAGGATGCATCAGCTGGAAAAGCCAGAAACAACGGACGGTCGCGCTATCTTCAACAGAAGCAGAATACATGGCGCTTTCCGAAGCAACCAAAGAAGCAGTATGGCTCAAAGTGCTTTTGGGGGAACTTGGTGAGATGACAAGCGACGAAGCGATCAAGATGTATGAAGACAACCAAGGATCAATCGCTCTCGCCAAGAACCCGGAGTTCCATAAGAGAACAAAACACATCGACATACGCTACCATTTTGTGCGTGAGAAGGTGGAATCAGGTGAAGTCGTTTTGGAGTATTGCCCGACTCAAGATATGCTGGCAGACATGATGACCAAGCCGATCGCCGCTGTACAATTTGAAAACATTCGCGATCGACTTGGGATCCAAGGTGCCACAGCTAACGAGTCGAGAGGGAGTGTTGAAAAGACAGCGGCTGTGAAGAAGACACCTCGTCAAGCTGCGTCAAGTGTTGAAGCAAGTGGAAGACCAAGCCTCGCTATACCGGTGGGTACCGGTATGTACCAGTAAGGGCGAAGTCAGGAAATGACGTCACTGGATGACGTCATTGGATGACGTCAGTGGGTGACGTCAGTGGGTGACGTCACTGGATGACGTCACTGCGAATAATAGGCTTAGAGGTAGTATTCAAAGTTGCGAACTAAGTACCTATTATAAATATATATTCACTTTGCGTTTTGCACTCGGACCAAGAAGTCTAAAGTTCATCAGTAGCATCGGCGAGAAACCAAGCGTTGATTCGTCGAATGTGACATCGCGAGATATCACCACTTGGTCCGCTTCAATGTCGTAAACGCGATATGCTTTTGACACTTCTTCGTACCCCATGAATAGTCCTTCACGAGCCTTCGGATCCCATTTCGATCTCTTTTCCTTAGGGGTCAGCACAAACGTTCGGCAGCCGAAAACCCGCATGTGCTTCACACTTGGTCGAAATCCGTCGACGATCTCCAATGAGGTTCGATCTTGGCACTTGGGCGATGGTAGGCGATTCTTGATGTAGATCGCCGTCATTGCTGCTTCAGCCCAAAAACACTTGTCCAGCTTGGCGTAGTGAAGCATGCTGCGCCCGATCGTCACAATGGTCCGAATTGCCCGTTCCGCCGTGCCGTTGGTCTGATGCGCATACGGAACGGTAACTTGCTGCTCGATTCCTTGATCATCGTAAAATGCCTTGAGCGAATTCGCCGCAAATTCTCGTGCACCATCGTGTCGAACGAACTTGACCTTGTAGTCAAACTGCGTCTGTACTGCCATGATGTACTTCTTGATGCACTCTTCGCTGTCGGACTTGGCGCGCAGACTGAAACCCTTCATACATCCGCTACCTTCATCGACGATCAGTAGCAAGTACTTGCTTCCATTTAGCGAGTCGACTTCCATTGGACCACAAGTGTCGATGTGTAGAAGCTCAAATGGATCGTAGTGAATCTTGTTTGGATTGCTTGGGAACGGTCGTTGAACCATTTTTCCTTCTAGGCAACCCTGACACACGCTTGATCCGCTCAATTTTGCTGGCATCTTGGCATCCTTGATCATGCCCTTGGAGACCATTCTGCACAAGACATTAATCGGTGCGTGGCCCATACGCGCATGAAGGTTTTCGACTCTTGGTCCTGAAGCCGCATTCACGGATCGTTGGGATGTACGAAGCCAGTAGAGGCCACCCACAAGATCGGCCATCGCCATTACTTGCTTGGAGCCTTTGTGCGAAATCTTCATCTCGTCAACATCAAACACCACTTGAAACTTGCCGCTTTTGTTGATTTGTGGTATCGACAGCAAGTTCTTGTTCATGCTTGGGACGTAAAGCGCGTTCTTGATCTCGACTTCGCGCTCTTCACCATTGGACAGGACCACCTTTTCGACGATTGTCCCGACACCGTTGATCGCAGCCTTGCTCCCCTCTGCAACCAATACTTCACCTTCATTGCGCTCGTCCATAACTTCAGACTTGGACTTGTCATAGCAGATGTGATGTGTTGTACCGCTGTCAATCGCCCACATTCCAGACATGCTCCTGGTCGTTGAAAGTCCGCATTCCAGCAAAACAGAAAGCGCCACTCAATCATGGTCATAGTTGTTGTTGCCGTTGCAGCTTTTCCACTGAACTTGATTCGCTCCGCGTCCACGTGCATTGCCGCCGCGTCGAGCTCCCCGATTGTCTTCCTTCTGCTTGGTCCAGCACTTTTCTGATGAACTTTAGACTTCTTGGTCCGAGTGCAAAACGCAAAGTGAATATATATTTATAATAGGTACTTAGTTCGCAACTTTGAATACTACCTCTAAGCCTATTATTCGCAGTGACGTCATCCAGTGACGTCACCCACTGACGTCACCCACTGACGTCATCCAATGACGTCATCCAGTGACGTCATTTCCTGACTTCGCCCTTACTGGTACATACCGGTACCCACCGGTATAGCGAGGCTTGGTCTTCCACTTGCTTCAACACTTGACGCAGCTTGACGAGGTGTCTTCTTTACAGCCGCTGTCTTTTCAACACTCCCTCTCGACTCGTTAGCTGCGGCACCTTGGATCCCAAGTCGATCGCGAATGTTTTCAAATTGTACAGCGGCGATCGGCTTGGTCATCATGTCTGCCAGCATATCTTGAGTCGGGCAATACTCCAAAACGACTTCACCTGATTCCACCTTCTCACGCACAAAATGGTAGCGTATGTCGATGTGTTTTGTTCTCTTATGGAACTCCGGGTTCTTGGCGAGAGCGATTGATCCTTGGTTGTCTTCATACATCTTGATCGCTTCGTCGCTTGTCATCTCACCAAGTTCCCCCAAAAGCACTTTGAGCCATACTGCTTCTTTGGTTGCTTCGGAAAGCGCCATGTATTCTGCTTCTGTTGAAGATAGCGCGACCGTCCGTTGTTTCTGGCTTTTCCAGCTGATGCATCCTCCGCTCATCATGAACACATAGCCGCTTGTACTTCGTCTTGACTCAATGTCGCCGGCCCAGTCTGCGTCGGTGTACCCGCAGATACGGCTTCCTTCTTCACGTGTAAACTCAAGACCATGATTGGGCGTTGCTTGCAGGTATCTCAGCACACGCTTCAAAGCTTGCCAGTGAGTCGGGCATGGGTCGGACGAGAACTGGGATAATGATCCCACTGCAGCAGCTAGATCCGGACGTGTGGCGACCATGAGATACATGATGCCTCCGACAGCACTTCGATATGGCACGTTGCACATGGTGTCTTCGTGCTTGCATTCTTGTTCACACATGTTCTTGGTTAGCTTCAGGCCGGGATCTTGAGGCGTCTTCACTGGCTTGCTGTTATCCATTCCGAACTTGGTTAACACGGACTTGAGAAACTTGGTTTGTTGTACAGTCACCATTCCCGTCTTACGGTCGTTCTTGATCTCCATGCCGAGAAAGTAATCGAGCTCACCGAGATCCGTCATTTCGAAGCGTTTGCTCAGCGCCATCTTGGTTGACTTGAGGAGTTCGTTGTTGCTGCTGGCCAGGATGAGATCATCGACGTAGAGCACCACGAGAATCATGTCTTGGTCGTCTCGCTTGATGCAGATGCAGTGGTCCGATTCGCACTTCTTGAATCCCATCTTGATCATGAACCCATCGATTGTTTGGTTCCACATGCGAGGCGATTGCTTCAAGCCGTAGAGTGATCTCTTTAGCTTGCACACATAGTCCGGCTGTGTTGCATCCAGGTATCCGTCCGGCTGGTCCATGTAGATGTCTTCGTTGAGGGAGCCGTTAAGAAACGCTGTCTTGACGTCCATCTGATGTAGCATTAGGCCGTACTTAGCCGCCATACTGAGCACCACACGAATCGATGTGAACTTGGCCACCGGTGCGAAAGTTTCTTCATAGTCAACTCCGAATTTCTGTGAGAATCCTTTGGCCACAAGTCTTGCCTTGAAACGTTCAACTTCGCCATCTTGATTCTCCTTTACACGAAAAACCCATCGGCACCCGATGGCCTTGCGACCTTTCGGAAGAGGCACGATTTCCCACGTGTCGTTTCTCTGAAGCGAATCGAACTCCGAGTCACACGCTTCTTTCCACTTGCCGGAGTCGCTTGATTCCATCGCCGACTTGAATGTAGTCGGCGTTTCCCCCACTGAATCAACGATGCAGGCTGCTTCAAAATCTGTTGAATGATGAAGAGCTTGACGACCGAAACTAGGAGGGATGCTGAGAGTCCACTTGGAAGACCGGAGAAGACACTTGGGGTAGATGGAAGATTGGAAAGTGATTGATTATCGGGGCTTACTACTTACTACATGATTTATATGTGGTGCACATATAAATCATGTGAAGCGTCTCATCATCCTACGCGTCTAATCAACTATGGTAATTACCGTAAGAACTACGTCGTAAATACTAAGCTGAACAGGCGGTTCGGATTGGACCGGTCACGGTTACCAATACTGGTAGAAACCGATGACCGTCAACACGCCCCCTCAATCCGAACTCGCACGAATGCCGAGAGCCGTCGTCAAGTCCTTGTGACGAGGTCCCGAAAGTCCCTTGGTCATGATGTCCGCCATCATCACGGTAGTCTCGCAATACTCGAGCTGCACTTCACCGCGCTTGACCTCATCACGGATGTGATGGTACTTGATGTCGATGTGCTTGGCGCGGCCATGATTCACCGGATTCTTTGTCATCTTGATGCACGACTGGTTGTCTTCACGGATGACGAGGTCCGGTCCTGGTTCGTTTGCGGCCGCCAAAATCTCGCATAGCAGGCGATGCACCCACTTGCCTTCCTGGATGGCCAGACTCAGTGCGATGTATTCCGCTTCACTCGTCGACAGCGACACACTTGACTGCTTCTTGCTTCCCCAACTCACAGGAGCACCCATCAGCATGAAAGTGTAACCCGAAGTCGACTTGCGATCAGCGTGGTCGCCGGCCCAGTCCGCGTCCGAGTAGCCACGAAAGTCGATCTTATCGCTTGGCTGGAATCGGAGTCCGTGCGACTTGGTCCCTTGCAAGTAACGAAAGATGCGCTTCACCGCCGTCCAATGTTCTTGCTGCGGATTCTCCATGAAGCGCGAGACGTACCCCACAGCATACGCAATGTCCGGGCGCGTCGCAGTCGTCAAGTGCATCAAAGCTCCCACAGCTTCACGAAACGGAACGTCGATCTTGGCCGCTTCGGTGCTTGCGACAAGCCGAGTGCTCAAGTCGACCGGACTTGATGTGGCCTTGCACTCATCCATGCCGAAGCGCTTGAGGATGTCGTTGACATACCGTCGCTGGCACATCGTCACGCTGCCATCCGATTCGTCCACCAGTTCGATGCCCAGTACAAAGGTACACTTGCCGCTGTCGGTCATCTCGAAACGCATCTTGAGGTCGGCCTTCGTCTGCGCAATCAACTCGAGCGAGTTGCCGGTGACCAACACGTCATCCACGTATACCAGCAGCAGCACGCAGTGACCATCCACAACCTTGATGTAGAGACATGGGTCGAACGCCGACGCTTCGAAACCGATAGAGCATACGAACTCATCGAAAGTCTCGTTCCACACACGTGAAGCTTGCTTGAGACCGTAGATCGCCTTCACCAACTCGAGACAGTCGAAGTCGCCATCCATCTCGACGCCTTCTGGTACCACGCAGTACACCTTCTCCTTCATCACTCCGTAGAGAAAGGCTGTCACCACATCGAGTTGGTCCAGTGGCCAGTCGAAATACTTGGTGATCGCGATCACCATACGCAGTGTCACGTACTTGACCACGGGCGAGAACGTCTCTGTGTAGTCGATGCCGTACTTCTGCTTGAAGCCCTTGGCAACGAGACGCGCCTTGTATTTCTCGACCGATCCATCCGCTTTGCGCTTGATCTTGAACACCCACTTGGTGCCGATCGCGCCTTGGCCTCTTGGTAGTTTTGCCGCACGGAAAACTCCACGAAGATGCATCGACTTGAGTTCCGCCTTCACAGCATTTCGCCAGTGAGCTTGATCAGGACCATTGATCGCGTCTTGAAAAGTCACAGGTTCTGCTAGGTCCGTTGCTTCCACTGCGTTTGCACTTGCACGCCAAAATGTTGGAGGCGTCAAGTCGTCATCTTGATCGTACACGCTTGCATCTTCTTCGTCATCAGACATCGTTTCTGGAGCACTTGATCGTCGTTTCTGGTGACGGTTGGAGACGTGTGCCGGCGCACTTGCTTGTTCCAATCCAGTTCGAGGGCGAGCTGAACGTGACATGCCGGGTCTTGCTTCACTCTTGCGCTTGCCAGTCTGCTTGTAGACAATTTGACGCACGTCGTCCTCGTTGATCGCCAGGAGGTCGAGATCCAACTCCGCATCTTCATCATCGTCACTTGGTCGGTCCATCGAAAAATCAAAAGTCGATTCGTCGAAGGTGATGTCACGACTGATCACCACTTGGTCCGCCTCAATGTCGTACACTCGATAAGCTTTTGACACTTCTTCGTAGCCCATGAACATCCCTTCACGAGCATTCGGGTCCCACTTCAATCGCTTCTCCCTTGGTGTCAGGATAAACGCCCGACATCCAAACACGCGCATGTGCTTGACACTTGGTTTCGACTTGTACACGATCTCGAACGGAGTCTTGTGGTCGATCTTGGGTGAAGGCAGGCGGTTCTTGATGTAGATCGCCGTCATTGCCGCTTCAGCCCAGAAACACTTCTCCAGCTTTGCATGATGCAACAAGCTGCGTCCGATCGTGACGATGGTCCTTATCGCGCGTTCTGCGGTGCCGTTGGTCTGGTGTGCATACGGCACCGTGATCTGTTGTTCGATACCATGATCTTCGTAGAAGGTCTTGATCGAGTTGGTCGCAAATTCATGCGCTCCATCGTGCCGAACAAACTTGATCTTCGTGCCGAACTGTGTTTGAATCTTGATGATGTGGTTCTTGATACAGTCTTCACTCTCAGACTTGGACCGCAGACAGAAGCCCTTCATGCAACCGCTGGCTTCGTCAACCACAAGCAGTAAGTATCTGCTGCCACCGATCGAGACTTGTTCCATTGGCCCGCAGATGTCGAAGTGCAGCAACTCGAACATACCATATTGGCGTTTGTCACGGTTGGTTGGGAATGGTTTTTGGACCATCTTTCCTTGCTGGCAACCGCGACACACACTTGGACCAGTCGAGTTGAGAGGTGCCTTGGCGTCCTTGATCATGCCAGTGGCCACCATCTTGCGCAGAACTTCGAGAGGTGCATGACCCATGCGCGCATGCAAGTCGATGGTCCCATTGCGTGTTGCTGCATTTGCCGATCGTTGAGGAGTCCGCAGCCAGTAAAGTCCATCGACGAGATCCGCTGTTGCCACGACTTGTGTGGAATTCTTGCGCTTCACTTGCATCTTGGATCCATCGAACACGACTTGGAACCTCCCACCCTTGTTGATCTGTGGCACCGAAAGCAGATTCTTGCTCATGCTTGGTACGAACAGCGCGTCCTTGATCTCGATGTCGCGTTCGTCACCATTGGGCAGAACCACCCGTTCCATGATGGTTCCCACACCCTTGATCGCAGCCTTGCTGCCATCAGCCACTGATAGTTCGCCTTCCTCTCGCTCATTCAGGCTTGCAAACTTGGCCTTGTCGTTGCAGATGTGATGCGTCGCACCGCTGTCGACTGCCCACATCCCTGGCATATTCTTGCCCGTCGAAAGTCCGGCCTCCAGCGAAACCGCGAACGCAACTCGATCGCAGTTGTCGTCGTAGTTGCTGTTGGTTCGCCACTGAACGTTGTTGGCTCCGCGTCCACGAGCATTGTTGCCGCCGCGTCGAGCTCCACCTTGATTCTCGTCCTTCTGCTTGGTCCAGCACCGCTCCGCCGTGTGCCCCAATTTTCCGCAGTATGTACACTGGCGAGGTTCACGCTCGGTACTGAACGCCTTGGCCGCGTCTTCAGTCTTCACCGATGTCGTCTTGTCACCTTGCCTCTTGATGTGCTCATTCGTGAGCACTCACGACGTCTCGCGATCGCAGTTCCGCGCTGCTCATCTCCAAGTTGAGAACGACGTTCTCGTAGCTCTTGGGGAGGCTGCGCAACAAGCAGATCGCAACGTCCTCGTCCTCCATCTTGGCGCCGATGCTGCTGAGCTTCGCGCTGATGTTGAGGACTTCGTTGCAATGATGCATCACATTGCCGCCTTCCGCCATCTCCATGCTGAACAGCTGGCGCTTCAAGTAGATGCGTCCAGCCTTCTGCGACCCGCCGTACAGCGTCTTCGAACGCGCCCACGCGACCCACGCCTCTTCACAGTCATCAACCACGTGATGATAATCTGCGCTCATGTGCAGCAGCATCAAGCCGAACGCAATGTTGTTCGTCTTGACGTAGTCGTCACTGGCGCGAGGATCGGCGAAGGTGGGGGTGGTCTCCCGGTTCACCACGTGCCACGCCGACTTGGTCAGGAACACGCCACGCATGTAGCGGCTCCACGTCGCGTAGTTGTCGCCGTCGAACTTGTCGATGGAGATCTTGGTGGTGGCATCATGGGCAGAGGACATCGTGCTTGGGCTCATAACCTGTTGAATGATGAAGAGCTTGACGACCGAAACTGGGAGGGATGCTGAGAGTCCACTTGGAAGACCGGAGAAGACACTTGGGGTAGATGGAAGATTGGAAAGTGATTGATTATCGGGGCTTACTACTTACTACATGATTTATATGTGGTGCACATATAAATCATGTGAAGCGTCTCATCATCCTACGCGTCTAATCAACTATGGTAATTACCGTAAGAACTACGTCGTAAATACTAAGCTGAACAGGCAGTTCGGATTGGACCGGTCACGGTTACCAATACTGGTAGAAACCGATGACCGTCAACAAAATCCATTGCAGCCGCTGACACATGCTCAAGCGACGGACCTCTGTATGTTCTTCGCTTGGGACTTGGAATGACGGTAGCTTTCTCAAGTGATTGAGTGCGCGTGTGTCTCTTGATGTTGCTCTTCGAAGACCTGGTGTCTTCGTTTTCATCGTCGCTCGAGTCCATGTCGTCGTCAGTTTTACCTTCTTCTTTTTCTTCGTCCTCGTCATGATCATCAAACTCAACGACACTTGACTCATCGTTGTAGTTGCGCGGACCTTCATCAAACTTGTCTTCCATGAATGTGGCATCGCGACTGATCTTGATCGCTCCTGTTGACACTTCCTCAAATCGATATGACTTCTGGTGTTCGGCGTATCCCAGGAAACGACAGAGTGATGACTTGGAGTCGAACTTCGCGCGTTTGTCTTGAGGCACTTGAACATACGCGTGGCATCCAAACACTTTAAGGTTGGCCAGAATCGGTTTCTTCATCGTCCACACTTGATATGGAGACTTGTCTTGGTGAATGACACGTGTTGGACAGCAGTTTCGTGATGAACTTTAGACTTCTTGGTCCGAGTGCAAAACGCAAAGTGAATATATATTTATAATAGGTACTTAGTTCGCAACTTTGAATACTACCTCTAAGCCTATTATTCGCAGTGACGTCATCCAGTGACGTCACCCACTGACGTCACCCACTGACGTCATGCAATGACGTCATCCAGTGACGTCATTTCCTGACTTCGCCCTTACTGGTACATACCGGTACCCACTGGTATAGCGAAGCTTGGTCTTCCACTTGCTTCAACACTTGACGCAGCTTGACGAGGTGTCTTCTTCACAGCCGCTGTCTTTTCAACACTCCCTCTCGACTCGTTAGCTGCGGCACCTTGGATCCCAAGTCGATCGCGAATGTTTTCAAATTGTACAGCGGCGATCGGCTTGGTCATCATGTCTGCCAGCATATCTTGAGTCGGGCAATACTCCAAAACGACTTCACCTGATTCCACCTTCTCACGCACAAAATGGTAGCGTATGTCGATGTGTTTTGTTCTCTTATGGAACTCCGGGTTCTTGGCGAGAGCGATTGATCCTTGGTTGTCTTCATACATCTTGATCGCTTCGTCGCTTGTCATCTCACCAAGTTCCCCCAAAAGCACTTTGAGCCATACTGCTTCTTTGGTTGCTTCGGAAAGCGCCATGTATTCTGCTTTTGTTGAAGATAGCGCGACCGTCCGTTGTTTCTGGCTTTTCCAGCTGATGCATCCTCCGCTCATCATGAACACATATCCGCTTGTACTTCGTCTTGACTCAATGTCGCCGGCCCAGTCTGCGTCGGTGTACCCGCAGATACGGCTTCCTTCTTCACGTGTAAACTCAAGACCATGATTGGGCGTTGCTTGCAGGTATCTCAGCACACGCTTCAAAGCTTGCCAGTGAGTCGGGCATGGGTCGGACGAGAACTGGGATAATGATCCCACTGCAGCAGCTAGATCCGGACGTGTGGCGACCATGAGATACATGATGCCTCCGACAGCACTTCGATATGGCACGTTGCACATGGTGTCTTCGTGCTTGCATTCTTGTTCACACATGTTCTTGGTTAGCTTCAGGCCGGGATCTTGAGGCGTCTTCACTGGCTTGCTGTTATCCATTCCGAACTTGGTTATCACGGACTTGAGAAACTTGGTTTGTTGTACAGTCACCATTCCCGTCTTACGGTCGTTCTTGATCTCCATGCCGAGAAAGTAATCGAGCTCACCGAGATCCGTCATTTCGAAGCGTTTGCTCAGCGCCATCTTGGTTGACTTGAGGAGTTCGTTGTTGCTGCTGGCCAGGATGAGATCATCGACGTAGAGCACCACGAGAATCATGTCTTGGTCGTCTCGCTTGATGTAGATGCAGTGGTCCGATTCGCACTTCTTGAATCCCATCTTGATCATGAACCCATCGATTGTTTGGTTCCACATGCGAGGCGATTGCTTCAAGCCGTAGAGTGATCTCTTTAGCTTGCACACATAGTCCGGCTGTGTTGCATCCAGGTATCCGTCCGGCTGGTCCATGTAGATGTCTTCGTTGAGGGAGCCGTTAAGAAACGCTGTCTTGACGTCCATCTGATGTAGCATTAGGCCGTACTTGGCCGCCATACTGAGCACCACACGAATCGATGTGAACTTGGCCACCGGTGCGAAAGTTTCTTCATAGTCAACTCCGAATTTCTGTGAGAATCCTTTGGCCACAAGTCTTGCCTTGAAACGTTCAACTTCGCCATCTTGATTCTCCTTTACACGAAAAACCCATCGGCACCCGATGGCCTTGCGACCTTTCGGAAGAGGCACGATTTCCCACGTGTCGTTTCTCTGAAGCGAATCGAACTCCGAGTCACACGCTTCTTTCCACTTGCCGGAGTCGCTTGATTCCATCGCCGACTTGAATGTAGTCGGCGTTTCCCCCACTGAATCAACGATGTAGGCTGCTTCAAAATCCATTGCAGCCGCTGACACATGCTCAAGCGACGGACCTCTGTATGTTCTTCGCTTGGGACTTGGAATGACGGTAGCTTTCTCAAGTGATTGAGTGCGCGTGTGTCTCTTGATGTTGCTCTTCGAAGACCTGGTGTCTTCGTTGTCATCGTCGCTCGAGTCCATGTCGTCGTCAGTTTTACCTTCTTCTTTTTCTTCGTCCTCATCATGATCATCAAACTCAACGACACTTGACTCATCGTTGTAGTTGCGCGGACCTTCATCAAACTTGTCTTCCATGAATGTGGCATCGCGACTGATCTTGATCGCTCCTGTTGACACTTCCTCAAATCGATATGACTTCTGGTGTTCGGCGTATCCCAGGAAACGATAGAGTGATGACTTGGAGTCGAACTTCGCGCGTTTGTCTTGAGGCACTTGAACATACGCGTGGCATCCAAACACTTTAAGGTTGGCCAGAATCGGTTTCTTCATCGTCCACACTTGATATGGAGACTTGTCTTGGTGAATGGCACGTGTTGGACAGCGGTTTCGAAGAAACATCGCCGTCATCACTGCTTCACCCCAGTAGCTCTTTCCCAGTCCAGCGTGTTCCATCATGCAACGCGCACACTCGACCAGCGTGCGATTCATTCTCTCAGCTACTCCGTTTAGCTGAGGAGTATATGGGGGTGTGAACCTTTGTTGTATTCCCCGTTCCGCGCAGAATCGTGCCAGCTTGTCGGACTTGTATTCACCCCCATTGTCGCTTTGAAGGTACTTCACGCGCTTTCCGGTTTGCGTTTCGGCCATCGCAGCGTATTCCATGAACTTCGCCGCAACTTCAGATTTGCTCTTGAGCAGATAGACGACACAGTATCTTGACTTGTCATCAATGAATGTCACGAAGTACCGTTTTCCACTGAAAGTTGCCATCGACATCGGTCCGCATACGTCGCTGTGAATCACTTCGAGGAGTTTGGAGGTGCGAGCTGTAGTGTTTGATTGGAAGCGCACTCGAGTCTGTTTTCCCAGAGCACAACCTTCACACACGTCCCACTTCTTCACCGAAGATATGTCGATGCCAATTCCAATGTTCTTCGTCACGATGCAATTGAGTCCATCGTGACCTATGTGGCCAAGCCGAAGGTGCCAGAGGTACGACTTGGTGCCCCCTTGACATCCCGACGACTTGGCTGCATTTGCTTGTTCCGGCGCCACTGGAGTCATTTGCAGCTTGAACAGTCCTTTACCTTCACGGGCACCAATTTTCCACTTGGTCCCTTTCGCTTTTCCATAGCGCCCATCCTTCGTGAACGTCACTGGGCCGACATCCTTGGTGAAGCGGCCGACCGAGAACAGGTTTCTGGATAACTTTGGGATGTGCCACACGTTTGTGAGCACACCTTTCTTCATCCCTTGGGGTGTCTTCATCGACATGACAATGTCCCCACTGCCGATTGCTTGGACGATTCCATCATCCGCGAGATGGACATCCACAGCGTCAAACCCCTTGTAGTTCCGCATGAACTTCTTGGAGCACGTCATGTGCTGCGTCGCCCCGGAGTCGACCAGCCAGATGTCGCTCGATTTCGCAGATGTCGTTTCACCGATCGAAAAGAGGTAGTCGCCCGAGTCTTCTTCTTGAGCGACGTTTGCACGTTGTGATCGATAGCGGTCGCCGCTGTCTTGAGCACGCTGTGGCCGGTGTCTCTCCGTGTTTTCTTGGATGCGCGAGAGGCACTCCGCCATCCAGTGACCAATCTTTCCGCAATTGTGGCACGGCCAGGACTTCTTCACTGGTCGCCCTTTGCGCTGATTGTCCCTTGTGATGAACGCTTGACCTTGCGAAGCTTCATCACCTTTACTTCCTTGCTCCCTCCGCTTCATTTCTTCATGAAGCAGTCGAGACGTCACGAGCTCCCAGCTAAGAGTGTCTGAGCGCGACTCCAAAGCTGTGATCAAGAATTGATACGAGTCACTCAGGCTGCCGAGAAGTGTGATCACCAGATCGTCCTCGCAGACTGGAGCCCCCACCGCTTCTAGCTGTTCCGCCAGCGTCTTGAGCTTGTTGATGTGTTCGAGTACATCGTCGCCTTCTTCCATCATTGTCGTGAAGAAGCGACGGCGCAAGAACAGCTTGTTGGCAAGACTCTTCTTCTCGAAGTGGTCTTCCAACCTTGACCATGCGTCGCATGCACCACTTGCCGACCGGACCAACGGTAGCTGGGAATCTTCCATGGCTAGACAGATCACTGCCATCGCCTTTCTTGACTTCCTCTTGTACGTCGCTTGGTCCAACTGAGTCTCGCACTGTTCCGCCTTGATCTCACCGCTGACGACCTCCCATAGGTCCCGTTCCTCCAGCACCATCTGCATCTTGAACTTCCAGGCGTGGAAGTTAGTTCCATCGAACTTGGAGATGCGGAGGGAGGAGGCGTCCATGGCAGCTAAGCTTGAATTGTTGGCGGTTTCAGAGTCTGACGAACTTGGGCTCATAACCTGATGAACTTTAGACTTCTTGGTCCGAGTGCAAAACGCAAAGTGAATATATATTTATAATAGGTACTTAGTTCGCAACTTTGAATACTACCTCTAAGCCTATTATTCGCAGTGACGTCATCCAGTGACGTCACCCACTGACGTCACCCACTGACGTCATGCAATGACGTCATCCAGTGACGTCATTTCCTGACTTCGCCCTTACTGGTACATACCGGTACCCACCGGTATAGCGAAGCTTGGTCTTCCACTTGCTTCAACACTTGACGCAGCTTGACGAGGTGTCTTCTTCACAGCCGCTGTCTTTTCAACATGGCGACCATGAGATACATGATGCCTCCGACAGCACTTCGATATGGCACGTTGCACATGGTGTCTTCGTGCTTGCATTCTTGTTCACACATGTTCTTGGTTAGCTTCAGGCCGGGATCTTGAGGCGTCTTCACTGGCTTGCTGTTATCCATTCCGAACTTGGTTAACACGGACTTGAGGAACTTGGTTTGTTGCACAGTCACCATTCCCGTCTTACGGTCGTTCTTGATCTCCATGCCGAGAAAGTAATCGAGCTCACCGAGATCCGTCATTTCGAAGCGTTTGCTCAGCGCCATCTTGGTTGACTTGAGGAGTTCGTTGTTGCTGCTGGCCAGGATGAGATCATCGACGTAGAGTACCACGAGAATCATGTCTTGGTCGTCTCGCTTGATGTAGATGCAGTGGTCCGATTCGCACTTCTTGAATCCCATCTTGATCATGAACCCATCGATTGTTTGGTTCCACATGCGAGGCGATTGCTTCAAGCCGTAGAGTGATCTCTTTAGCTTGCACACATAGTCCGGCTGTGTTGCATCCAGGTATCCGTCCGGCTGGTCCATGTAGATGTCTTCGTTGAGGGAGCCGTTAAGAAACGCTGTCTTGACGTCCATCTGATGTAGCATCAGGCCGTACTTAGCCGCCATACTGAGCACCACACGAATCGATGTGAACTTGGCCACCGGTGCGAAAGTTTCTTCATAGTCAACTCCGAATTTCTGTGAGAATCCTTTGGCCACAAGTCTTGCCTTGAAACGTTCAACTTCGCCATCTTGATTCTCCTTTACACGAAAAACCCATCGGCACCCGATGGCCTTGCGACCTTTCGGAAGAGGCACGATTTCCCACGTGTCGTTTCTCTGAAGCGAGTCGAACTCCGAGTCACACGCTTCTTTCCACTTGCCGGAGTCGCTTGATTCCATCGCCGACTTGAATGTAGTCGGCGTTTCCCCCACTGAATCAACGATGTAGGCTGCTTCAAAATCCATTGCAGCCGCTGACACATGCTCAAGCGACGGACCTCTGTATGTTCTTCGCTTGGGACTTGGAATGACGGTAGCTTTCTCAAGTGATTGAGTGCGCGTGTGTCTCTTGATGTTGCTCTTCGAAGACCTGGTGTCTTCGTTGTCATCGTCGCTCGAGTCCATGTCGTCGTCAGTTTTACCTTCTTCTTTTTCTTCGTCCTCATCATGATCATCAAACTCAACGACACTTGACTCATCGTTGTAGTTGCGCGGACCTTCATCAAACTTGTCTTCCATGAATGTGGCATCGCGACTGATCTTGATCGCTCCTGTTGACACTTCCTCAAATCGATATGACTTCTGGTGTTCGGCGTATCCCAGGAAACGACAGAGTGATGACTTGGAGTCGAACTTCGCGCGTTTGTCTTGAGGCACTTGAACATACGCGTGGCATCCAAACACTTTAAGGTTGGCCAGAATCGGTTTCTTCATCGTCCACACTTGATATGGAGACTTGTCTTGGTGAATGGCACGTGTTGGACAGCGGTTTCGAAGAAACATCGCCGTCATCACTGCTTCACCCCAGTAGCTCTTTCCCAGTCCAGCGTGTTCCATCATGCAACGCGCACACTCGACCAGCGTGCGATTCATTCTCTCAGCTACTCCGTTTAGCTGAGGAGTATATGGGGGTGTGAACCTTTGTTGTATTCCCCGTTCCGCGCAGAATCGTGCCAGCTTGTCGGACTTGTATTTGATGAACTTTAGACTTCTTGGTCCGAGTGCAAAACGCAAAGTAAATATATATTTATAAAAGGTACTTAGTTCGCAACTTTGAATACTACCTCTAAGCCTATTATTCGCAGTGACGTCATCCAGTGACGTCACCCACTGACGTCACCCACTGACGTCATGCAATGACGTCATCCAGTGACGTCATTTCCTGACTTCGCCCTTACTGGTACATACCGGTACCCACCGGTATAGCGAAGCTTGGTCTTCCACTTGCTTCAACACTTGACGCAGCTTGACGAGGTGTCTTCTTCACAGCTGCTGTCTTTTCAACACTCCCTCTCGACTCGTTAGCTGCGGCACCTTGGATCCCAAGTCGATCGCGAATGTTTTCAAATTGTACAGCGGCGATCGGCTTGGTCATCATGTCTGCCAGCATATCTTGAGTCGGGCAATACTCCAAAACGACTTCACCTGATTCCACCTTCTCACGCACAAAATGGTAGCGTATGTCGATGTGTTTTGTTCTCTTATGGAACTCCGAGTTCTTGGCGAGAGCGATTGATCCTTGGTTGTCTTCATACATCTTGATCGCTTCGTCGCTTGTCATCTCACCAAGTTCCCCCAAAAGCACCTTGAGCCATACTGCTTCTTTGGTTGCTTCGGAAAGCGCCATGTATTCTGCTTCTGTTGAAGATAGCGCGACCGTCCGTTGTTTCTGGCTTTTCCAGCTGATGCATCCTCCGCTCATCATGAACACATAGCCGCTTGTACTTCGTCTTGACTCAATGTCGCCGGCCCAGTCTGCGTCGGTGTACCCGCAGATACGGCTTCCTTCTTGACGTGTAAACTCAAGACCATGATTGGGCGTTGCTTGCAGGTATCTCAGCACACGCTTCAAAGCTTGCCAGTGAGTCGGGCATGGGTCGGACGAGAACTGGGATAATGATCCCACTGCAGCAGCTAGATCCGGACGTGTGGCGACCATGAGATACATGATGCCTCCGACAGCACTTCGATATGGCACGTTGCACATGGTGTCTTCGTGCTTGCATTCTTGCTCACACATGTTCTTGGTTAGCTTCAGGCCGGGATCTTGAGGCGTCTTCACTGGCTTGCTGTTATCCATTCCGAACTTGGTTAACACGGACTTGAGAAACTTGGTTTGTTGTACAGTCACCATTCCCGTCTTACGGTCGTTCTTGATCTCCATGCCGAGAAAGTAATCGAGCTCACCGAGATCCGTCATTTCGAAGCGTTTGCTCAGCGCCATCTTGGTCGACTTGAGGAGTTCGTTGTTGCTGCTGGCCAGGATGAGATCATCGACGTAGAGCACCACGAGAATCATGTCTTGGTCGTCTCGCTTGATGTAGATGCAGTGGTCCGATTCGCACTTCTTGAATCCCATCTTGATCATGAACCCATCGATTGTTTGGTTCCACATGCGAGGCGATTGCTTCAAGCCGTAGAGTGATCTCTTTAGCTTGCACACATAGTCCGGCTGTGTTGCATCCAGGTATCCGTCCGGCTGGTCCATGTAGATGTCTTCGTTGAGGGAGCCGTTAAGAAACGCTGTCTTGACGTCCATCTGATGTAGCATTAGGCCGTACTTAGCCGCCATACTGAGCACCACACGAATCGATGTGAACTTGGCCACCGGTGCGAAAGTTTCTTCATAGTCAACTCCGAATTTCTGTGAGAATCCTTTGGCCACAAGTCTTGCCTTGAAACGTTCAACTTCGCCATCTTGATTCTCCTTTACACGAAAAACCCATCGGCACCCGATGGCCTTGCGACCTTTCGGAAGAGGCACGATTTCCCACGTGTCGTTTCTCTGAAGCGAGTCGAACTCCGAGTCACACGCTTCTTTCCACTTGCCGGAGTCGCTTGATTCCATCGCCGACTTGAATGTAGTCGGCGTTTCCCCACTGAATCAACGATGTAGGCTGCTTCAAAATCCATTGCAGCCGCTGACACATGCTCAAGCGACGGACATCTGTACGTTCTTCGCTTGGGACTTGGAATGACGGTAGCTTTCTCAAGTGATTGAGTGCGCGTGTGTCTCTTGATGTTGCTCTTCGAAGACCTGGTGTCTTCGTTGTCATCGTCGCTCGAGTCCATGTCGTCGTCAGTTTTACCTTCTTCTTTTTCTTCGTCCTCATCATGATCATCAAACTCAACGACACTTGACTCATCGTTGTAGTTGCGCGGACCTTCATCAAACTTGTCTTCCATGAATGTGGCATCGCGACTGATCTTGATCGCTCCTGTTGACACTTCCTCAAATCGATATGACTTCTGGTGTTCGGCGTATCCCAGGAAACGACAGAGTGATGACTTGGAGTCGAACTTCGCGCGTTTGTCTTGAGGCACTTGAACATACGCGTGGCATCCAAACACTTTAAGGTTGGCCAGAATCGGTTTCTTCATCGTCCACACTTGATATGGAGACTTGTCTTGGTGAATGGCACGTGTTGGACAGCGGTTTCGAAGAAACATCGCCGTCATCACTGCTTCACCCCCAGTAGCTCTTTCCCAGTCCAGCGTGTTCCATCATGCAACGCGCACACTCGACCAGCGTGCGATTCATTCTCTCAGCTACTCCGTTTAGCTGAGGAGTATATGGGGGTGTGAACCTTTGTTGCATTCCCCGTTCCGCGCAGAATCGTGCCAGCTTGTCGGACTTGTATTCACCCCCATTGTCGCTTTGAAGGTACTTCACGCGCTTTCCGGTTTGCGTTTCGGCCATCGCAGCGTATTCCATGAACTTCGCCGCAACTTCAGATTTGCTCTTGAGCAGATAGACGACACAGTATCTTGACTTGTCATCAATGAATGTCACGAAGTACCGTTTTCCACTGAAAGTTGCCATCGACATCGGTCCGCATACGTCGCTGTGAATCACTTCGAGGAGTTTGGAGGTGCGAGCTGTAGTGTTTGATTGGAAGCGCACTCGAGTCTGTTTTCCCAGAGCACAACCTTCACACACGTCCCACTTCTTCACCGAAGATATGTCGATGCCAATTCCAATGTTCTTCGTCACGATGCAATTGAGTCCATCGTGACCTATGTGGCCAAGCCGAAGGTGCCAGAGGTACGACTTGGTGCCCCCTTGACATCCCGACGACTTGGCTGCATTTGCTTGTTCCGGCGCCACTGGAGTCATTTGCAGCTTGAACAGTTCTTTACCTTCACGGGCACCAATTTTCCACTTAATCCCTTTCGCTTCTCCATAGCACCCATCCTTCGTGAACGTCACTGGGCCGACATCCTTGGTGAAGCGTGTTGAAAAGACAGCAGCTGTGAAGAAGACACCTCGTCAAGCTGCGTCAAGTGTTGAAGCAAGTGGAAGACCAAGCTTCGCTATACCGGTGGGTACCGGTATGTACCAGTAAGGGCGAAGTCAGGAAATGACGTCACTGGATGACGTCATTGCATGACGTCAGTGGGTGACGTCAGTGGGTGACGTCACTGGATGACGTCACTGCGAATAATAGGCTTAGAGGTAGTATTCAAAGTTGCGAACTAAGTACCTATTATAAATATATATTTACTTTGCGTTTTGCACTCGGACCAAGAAGTCTAAAGTTCATCAGGTTATGAGCCCAAGTTCGTCAGACTCTGAAACCGCCAACAATTCAAGCTTAGCTGCCATGGACGCCTCCTCCCTCCGCATCTCCAAGTTCGATGGAACTAACTTCCACGCCTGGAAGTTCAAGATGCAGATGGTGCTGGAGGAACGGGACCTATGGGAGGTCGTCAGCGGTGAGATCAAGGCGGAACAGTGCGAGACTCAGTTGGACCAAGCGACGTACAAGAGGAAGTCAAGAAAGGCGATGGCAGTGATCTGTCTAGCCATGGAAGATTCCCAGCTACCGTTGGTCCGGTCGGCAAGTGGTGCATGCGACGCATGGTCAAGGTTGGAAGACCACTTCGAGAAGAAGAGTCTTGCCAACAAGCTGTTCTTGCGCCGTCGCTTCTTCACGACAATGATGGAAGAAGGCGACGATGTGCTCGAACACATCAACAAGCTCAAGACGCTGGCGGAACAGCTAGAAGCGGTGGGGGCTCCAGTCTGCGAGGACGATCTGGTGATCACACTCCTCGGCAGCCTGAGTGACTCGTATCAATTCTTGATCACAGCTTTGGAGTCGCGCTCAGACACTCTTAGCTGGGAGCTCGTGACGTCTCGACTGCTTCATGAAGAAATGAAGCGGAAGGAGCAAGGGAAGTAAAGGTGATGAAGCTTCGCAAGGTCAAGCGTTCATCACAAGGGACAATCAGCGCAAAGGGCGACCAGTGAAGAAGTCCTGGCCGTGCCATAATTGCGGAAAGATTGGTCACTGGATGGCGGAGTGCCCCTCGCGCATCCAAGAAAACACGGAGAGACACCGGCCACAGCGTGCTCAAGACAGCGGCGACCGCTATCGATCACAACGTGCAAACGTCGCTCAAGAAGAAGACTCGGGCGACTACCTCTTTTCGATCGGTGAAACGACATCTGCGAAATCGAGCGACATCTGGCTGGTCGACTCCGGGGCGACGCAGCACATGACGTGCTCCAAGAAGTTCATGCGGAACTACAAGGGGTTTGACGCTGTGGATGTCCATCTCGCGGATGATGGAATCGTCCAAGCAATCGGCAGTGGGGACATTGTCATGTCGATGAAGACACCCCAAGGGATGAAGAAAGGTGTGCTCACAAACGTGTGGCACATCCCAAAGTTATCCAGAAACCTGTTCTCGGTCGGCCGCTTCACCAAGGATGTCGGCCCAGTGACGTTCACGAAGGATGGGTGCTATGGAGAAGCGAAAGGGACCAAGTGGAAAATTGGTGCCCGTGAAGGTAAAGGACTGTTCAAGCTGCAAATGACTCCAGTGGCGCCGGAACAAGCAAATGCAGCTAAGTCGTCGGGATGTCAAGGGGGCACCAAGTCGTACCTCTGGCACCTTCGGCTTGGCCACATAGGTCACGATGGACTCAATTGCATCGTGACGAAGAACATTGGAATTGGCATCGACATATCTTCGGTGAAGAAGTGGGACGTGTGTGAAGGTTGTGCTCTGGGAAAACAGACTCGAGTGCGCTTCCAATCAAACACTACAGCTCGCACCTCCAAACTCCTCGAAGTGATTCACAGCGACGTATGCGGACCGATGTCGATGGCAACTTTCAGTGGAAAACGGTACTTCGTGACATTCATCGATGACAAGTCAAGATACTGTGTCGTCTATCTGCTCAAGAGCAAATCTGAAGTTGCGGCGAAGTTCATGGAATACGCTGCGATGGCCGAAACGCAAACCGGAAAGCGCGTGAAGTACCTTCAAAGCGACAATGGGGGTGAATACAAGTCCGACAAGCTGGCACGATTCTGCGCGGAACGGGGAATACAACAAAGGTTCACACCCCCATATACTCCTCAGCTAAACGGAGTAGCTGAGAGAATGAATCGCACGCTGGTCGAGTGTGCGCGTTGCATGATGGAACACGCTGGACTGGGAAAGAGCTACTGGGGTGAAGCAGTGATTGTTGAAAAGACAGCGGCTGTGAAGAAGACACCTCGTCAAGCTGCGTCAAGTGTTGAAGCAAGTGGAAGACCAAGCTTCGCTATACCGGTGGGTACCGGTATGTACCAGTAAGGGCGAAGTCAGGAAATGACGTCACTGGATGACGTCATTGCATGACGTCAGTGGGTGACGTCACTGGATGACGTCACTGCGAATAATAGGCTTAGAGGTAGTATTCAAAGTTGCGAACTAAGTACCTATTATAAATATATATTTACTTTGCGTTTTGCACTCGGACCAAGAAGTCTAAAGTTCATCAGGTTATGAGCCCAAGTTCGTCAGACTCTGAAACCGCCAACAATTCAAGCTTAGCTGCCATGGACGCCTCCTCCCTCCGCATCTCCAAGTTCGATGGAACTAACTTCCACGCCTGGAAGTTCAAGATGCAGATGGTGCTGGAGGAACGGGACCTATGGGAGGTCGTCAGCGGTGAGATCAAGGCGGAACAGTGCGAGACTCAGTTGGACCAAGCGACGTACAAGAGGAAGTCAAGAAAGGCGATGGCAGTGATCTGTCTAGCCATGGAAGATTCCCAGCTACCGTTGGTCCGGTCGGCAAGTGGTGCATGCGACGCATGGTCAAGGTTGGAAGACCACTTCGAGAAGAAGAGTCTTGCCAACAAGCTGTTCTTGCGCCGTCGCTTCTTCACGACAATGATGGAAGAAGGCGACGATGTGCTCGAACACATCAACAAGCTCAAGACGCTGGCGGAACAGCTAGAAGCGGTGGGGGCTCCAGTCTGCGAGGACGATCTGGTGATCACACTCCTCGGCAGCCTGAGTGACTCGTATCAATTCTTGATCACAGCTTTGGAGTCGCGCTCAGACACTCTTAGCTGGGAGCTCGTGACGTCTCGACTGCTTCATGAAGAAATGAAGCGGAAGGAGCAAGGAAGTAAAGGTGATGAAGCTTCGCAAGGTCAAGCGTTCATCACAAGGGACAATCAGCGCAAAGGGCGACCAGTGAAGAAGTCCTGGCCGTGCCATAATTGCGGAAAGATTGGTCACTGGATGGCGGAGTGCCCCTCGCGCATCCAAGAAAACACGGAGAGACACCGGCCACAGCGTGCTCAAGACAGCGGCGACCGCTATCGATCACAACGTGCAAACGTCGCTCAAGAAGAAGACTCGGGCGACTACCTCTTTTCGATCGGTGAAACGACATCTGCGAAATCGAGCGACATCTGGCTGGTCGACTCCGGGGCGACGCAGCACATGACGTGCTCCAAGAAGTTCATGCGGAACTACAAGGGGTTTGACGCTGTGGATGTCCATCTCGCGGATGATGGAATCGTCCAAGCAATCGGCAGTGGGGACATTGTCATGTCGATGAAGACACCCCAAGGGATGAAGAAAGGTGTGCTCACAAACGTGTGGCACATCCCAAAGTTATCCAGAAACCTGTTCTCGGTCGGCCGCTTCACCAAGGATGTCGGCCCAGTGACGTTCACGAAGGATGGGTGCTATGGAGAAGCGAAAGGGACCAAGTGGAAAATTGATGCCCGTGAAGGTAAAGGACTGTTCAAGCTGCAAATGACTCCAGTGGCGCCGGAACAAGCAAATGCAGCCAAGTCGTCGGGATGTCAAGGGGGCACCAAGTCGTACCTCTGGCACCTTCGGCTTGGCCACATAGGTCACGATGGACTCAATTGCATCGTGACGAAGAACATTGGAATTGGCATCGACATATCTTCGGTGAAGAAGTGGGACGTGTGTGAAGGTTGTGCTCTGGGAAAACAGACTCGAGTGCGCTTCCAATCAAACACTACAGCTCGCACCTCCAAACTCCTCGAAGTGATTCACAGCGACGTATGCGGACCGATGTCGATGGCAACTTTCAGTGGAAAACGGTACTTCGTGACATTCATTGATGACAAGTCAAGATACTGTGTCGTCTATCTGCTCAAGAGCAAATCTGAAGTTGCGGCGAAGTTCATGGAATACGCTGCGATGGCCGAAACGCAAACCGGAAAGCGCGTGAAGTACCTTCAAAGCGACAATGGGGGTGAATACAAGTCCGACAAGCTGGCACGATTCTGCGCGGAACGGGGAATACAACAAAGGTTCACACCCCCATATACTCCTCAGCTAAACGGAGTAGCTGAGAGAATGAATCGCACGCTGGTCGAGTGTGCGCGTTGCATGATGGAACACGCTGGACTGGGAAAGAGCTACTGGGGTGAAGCAGTGATGACGGCGATGTTTCTTCGAAACCGCTGTCCAACACGTGCCATTCACCAAGACAAGTCTCCATATCAAGTGTGGACGATGAAGAAACCGATTCTGGCCAACCTTAAAGTGTTTGGATGCCACGCGTATGTTCAAGTGCCTCAAGACAAACGCGCGAAGTTCGACTCCAAGTCATCACTCTGTCGTTTCCTGGGATACGCCGAACACCAGAAGTCATATCGATTTGAGGAAGTGTCAACAGGAGCGATCAAGATCAGTCGCGATGCCACATTCATGGAAGACAAGTTTGATGAAGGTCCGCGCAACTACAACGATGAGTCAAGTGTCGTTGAGTTTGATGATCATGATGAGGACGAAGAAAAAGAAGAAGGTAAAACTGACGACGACATGGACTCGAGCGACGATGACAACGAAGACACCAGGTCTTCGAAGAGCAACATCAAGAGACACACGCGCACTCAATCACTTGAGAAAGCTACCGTCATTCCAAGTCCCAAGCGAAGAACGTACAGATGTCCGTCGCTTGAGCATGTGTCAGCGGCTGCAATGGATTTTGAAGCAGCCTACATCGTTGATTCAGTGGGGGAAACGCCGACTACATTCAAGTCGGCGATGGAATCAAGCGACTCCGGCAAGTGGAAAGAAGCGTGTGACTCGGAGTTCGACTCGCTTCAGAGAAACGACACGTGGGAAATCGTGCCTCTTCCGAAAGGTCGCAAGGCCATCGGGTGCCGATGGGTTTTTCGTGTAAAGGAGAATCAAGATGGCGAAGTTGAACGTTTCAAGGCAAGACTTGTGGCCAAAGGATTCTCACAGAAATTCGGAGTTGACTATGAAGAAACTTTCGCACCGGTGGCCAAGTTCACATCGATTCGTGTGGTGCTCAGTATGGCGGCTAAGTACGGCCTGATGCTACATCAGATGGACGTCAAGACGGCGTTTCTTAACGGCTCCCTCAACGAAGACATCTACATGGACCAGCCGGACGGATACCTGGATGCAACACAGCCGGACTATGTGTGCAAGCTAAAGAGATCACTCTACGGCTTGAAGCAATCGCCTCGCATGTGGAACCAAACAATCGATGGGTTCATGATCAAGATGGGATTCAAGAAGTGCGAATCGGACCACTGCATCTACATCAAGCGAGACGACCAAGACATGATTCTCGTGGTGCTCTACGTCGATGATCTCATCCTGGCCAGCAGCAACAACGAACTCCTCAAGTCGACCAAGATGGCGCTGAGCAAACGCTTCGAAATGACGGATCTCGGTGAGCTCGATTACTTTCTCGGCATGGAGATCAAGAACGACCGTAAGACGGGAATGGTGACTGTGCAACAAACCAAGTTTCTCAAGTCCGTGTTAACCAAGTTCGGAATGGATAACAGCAAGCCAGTGAAGACGCCTCAAGATCCCGGCCTGAAGCTAACCAAGAACATGTGTGAACAAGAATGCAAGCACGAAGACACCATGTGCAACGTGCCATATCGAAGTGCTGTCGGAGGCATCATGTATCTCATGGTCGCCACACGTCCGGATCTAGCTGCTGCAGTGGGATCATTATCCCAGTTCTCGTCCGACCCATGCCCGACTCACTGGCAAGCTTTGAAGCGTGTGCTGAGATACCTGCAAGCAACGCCCAACCATGGTCTTGAGTTTACACGTCAAGAAGGAAGCCGTATCTGCGGGTACACCGACGCAGACTGGGCCGGCGACATTGAGTCAAGACGAAGTACAAGCGGCTATGTGTTCATGATGAGCGGAGGATGCATCAGCTGGAAAAGCCAGAAACAACGGACGGTCGCGCTATCTTCAACAGAAGCAGAATACATGGCGCTTTCCGAAGCAACCAAAGAAGCAGTATGGCTCAAGGTGCTTTTGGGGGAACTTGGTGAGATGACAAGCGACGAAGCGATCAAGATGTATGAAGACAACCAAGGATCAATCGCTCTCGCCAAGAACCCGGAGTTCCATAAGAGAACAAAACACATCGACATACGCTACCATTTTGTGCGTGAGAAGGTGGAATCAGGTGAAGTCGTTTTGGAGTATTGCCCGACTCAAGATATGCTGGCAGACATGATGACCAAGCCGATCGCCGCTGTACAATTTGAAAACATTCGCGATCGACTTGGGATCCAAGGTGCCGCAGCTAACGAGTCGAGAGGGAGTGTTGAAAAGACAGCAGCTGTGAAGAAGACACCTCGTCAAGCTGCGTCAAGTGTTGAAGCAAGTGGAAGACCAAGCTTCGCTATACCGGTGGGTACCGGTATGTACCAGTAAGGGCGAAGTCAGGAAATGACGTCACTGGATGACGTCATTGCATGACGTCAGTGGGTGACGTCAGTGGGTGACGTCACTGGATGACGTCACTGCGAATAATAGGCTTAGAGGTAGTATTCAAAGTTGCGAACTAAGTACCTATTATAAATATATATTTACTTTGCGTTTTGCACTCGGACCAAGAAGTCTAAAGTTCATCAAAGCGGCCGACCGAGAACAGGTTTCTGGATAACTTTGGGATGTGCCACACGTTTGTGAGCACACCTTTCTTCATCCCTTGGGGTGTCTTCATCGACATGACAATGTCCCCACTGCCGATTGCTTGGACGATTCCATCATCCGCGAGATGGACATCCACAGCGTCAAACCCCTTGTAGTTCCGCATGAACTTCTTGGAGCACGTCATGTGCTGCGTCGCCCCGGAGTCGACCAGCCAGATGTCGCTCGATTTCGCAGATGTCGTTTCACCGATCGAAAAGAGGTAGTCGCCCGAGTCTTCTTCTTGAGCGACGTTTGCACGTTGTGATCGATAGCGGTCGCCGCTGTCTTGAGCACGCTGTGGCCGGTGTCTCTCCGTGTTTTCTTGGATGCGCGAGGGGCACTCCGCCATCCAGTGACCAATCTTTCCGCAATTGTGGCACGGCCAGGACTTCTTCACTGGTCGCCCTTTGCGCTGATTGTCCCTTGTGATGAACGCTTGACCTTGCGAAGCTTCATCACCTTTACTTCCTTGCTCCTTCCGCTTCATTTCTTCATGAAGCAGTCGAGACGTCACGAGCTCCCAGCTAAGAGTGTCTGAGCGCGACTCCAAAGCTGTGATCAAGAATTGATACGAGTCACTCAGGCTGCCGAGGAGTGTGATCACCAGATCGTCCTCGCAGACTGGAGCCCCCACCGCTTCTAGCTGTTCCGCCAGCGTCTTGAGCTTGTTGATGTGTTCGAGCACATCGTCGCCTTCTTCCATCATTGTCGTGAAGAAGCGACGGCGCAAGAACAGCTTGTTGGCAAGACTCTTCTTCTCGAAGTGGTCTTCCAACCTTGACCATGCGTCGCATGCACCACTTGCCGACCGGACCAACGGTAGCTGGGAATCTTCCATGGCTAGACAGATCACTGCCATCGCCTTTCTTGACTTCCTCTTGTACGTCGCTTGGTCCAACTGAGTCTCGCACTGTTCCGCCTTGATCTCACCGCTGACGACCTCCCATAGGTCCCGTTCCTCCAGCACCATCTGCATCTTGAACTTCCAGGCGTGGAAGTTAGTTCCATCGAACTTGGAGATGCGGAGGGAGGAGGCGTCCATGGCAGCTAAGCTTGAATTGTTGGCGGTTTCAGAGTCTGACGAACTTGGGCTCATAACCTGATGAACTTTAGACTTCTTGGTCCGAGTGCAAAACGCAAAGTAAATATATATTTATAAAAGGTACTTAGTTCGCAACTTTGAATACTACCTCTAAGCCTATTATTCGCAGTGACGTCATCCAGTGACGTCACCCACTGACGTCACCCACTGACGTCATGCAATGACGTCATCCAGTGACGTCATTTCCTGACTTCGCCCTTACTGGTACATACCGGTACCCACCGGTATAGCGAAGCTTGGTCTTCCACTTGCTTCAACACTTGACGCAGCTTGACGAGGTGTCTTCTTCACAGCTGCTGTCTTTTCAACAGTATTCACCCCCATTGTCGCTTTGAAGGTACTTCACGCGCTTTCCGGTTTGCGTTTCGGCCATCGCAGCGTATTCCATGAACTTCGCCGCAACTTCAGATTTGCTCTTGAGCAGATAGACGACACAGTATCTTGACTTGTCATCAATGAATGTCACGAAGTACCGTTTTCCACTGAAAGTTGCCATCGACATCGGTCCGCATACGTCGCTGTGAATCACTTCGAGGAGTTTGGAGGTGCGAGCTGTAGTGTTTGATTGGAAGCGCACTCGAGTCTGTTTTCCCAGAGCACAACCTTCACACACGTCCCACTTCTTCACCGAAGATATGTCGATGCCAATTCCAATGTTCTTCGTCACGATGCAATTGAGTCCATCGTGACCTATGTGGCCAAGCCGAAGGTGCCAGAGGTATGACTTGGTGCCCCCTTGACATCCCGACGACTTGGCTGCATTTGCTTGTTCCGGCGCCACTGGAGTCATTTGCAGCTTGAACAGTCCTTTACCTTCACGGGCACCAATTTTCCACTTGGTCCCTTTCGCTTCTCCATAGCACCCATCCTTCGTGAACGTCACTGGGCCGACATCCTTGGTGAAGCGGCCGACCGAGAACAGGTTTCTGGATAACTTTGGGATGTGCCACACGTTTGTGAGCACACCTTTCTTCATCCCTTGGGGTGTCTTCATCGACATGACAATGTCCCCACTGCCGATTGCTTGGACGATTCCATCATCCGCGAGATGGACATCCACAGCGTCAAACCCCTTGTAGTTCCGCATGAACTTCTTGGAGCACGTCATGTGCTGCGTCGCCCCGGAGTCGACCAGCCAGATGTCGCTCGATTTCGCAGATGTCGTTTCACCGATCGAAAAGAGGTAGTCGCCCGAGTCTTCTTCTTGAGCGACGTTTGCACGTTGTGATCGATAGCGTGATGAACTTTAGACTTCTTGGTCCGAGTGCAAAACGCAAAGTGAATATATATTTATAATAGGTACTTAGTTCGCAACTTTGAATACTACCTCTAAGCCTATTATTCGCAGTGACGTCATCCAGTGACGTCACCCACTGACGTCACCCACTGACGTCATGCAATGACGTCATCCAGTGACGTCATTTCCTGACTTCGCCCTTACTGGTACATACCGGTACCCACCGGTATAGCGAAGCTTGGTCTTCCACTTGCTTCAACACTTGACGCAGCTTGACGAGGTGTCTTCTTCACAGCCGCTGTCTTTTCAACACTCCCTCTCGACTCGTTAGCTGCGGCACCTTGGATCCCAAGTCGATCGCGAATGTTTTTAAATTGTACAGCGGCGATCGGCTTGGTCATCATGTCTGCCAGCATATCTTGAGTCGGGCAATACTCCAAAACGACTTCACCTGATTCCACCTTCTCACGCACAAAATGGTAGCGTATGTCGATGTGTTTTGTTCTCTTATGGAACTCCGGGTTATTGGCGAGAGCGATTGATCCTTGGTTGTCTTCATACATCTTGATCGCTTCGTCGCTTGTCATCTCACCAAGTTCCCCCAAAAGCACTTTGAGCCATACTGCTTCTTTGGTTGCTTCGGAAAGCGCCATGTATTCTGCTTCTGTTGAAGATAGCGCGACCGTCCGTTGTTTCTGGCTTTTCCAGCTGATGCATCCTCCGCTCATCATGAACACATAGCCGCTTGTACTTCGTCTTGACTCAATGTCGCCGGCCCAGTCTGCGTCGGTGTACCCGCAGATACGGCTTCCTTCTTGACGTGTAAACTCAAGACCATGATTGGGCGTTGCTTGCAGGTATCTCAGCACACGCTTCAAAGCTTGCCAGTGAGTCGGGCATGGGTCGGACGAACTGGGATAATGATCCCACTGCAGCAGCTAGATCCGGACGTGTGGCGACCATGAGATACATGATGCCTCCGACAGCACTTCGATATGGCACGTTGCACATGGTGTCTTCGTGCTTGCATTCTTGTTCACACATGTTCTTGGTTAGCTTCAGGCCGGGATCTTGAGGCGTCTTCACTGGCTTGCTGTTATCCATTCCGAACTTGGTTAACACGGACTTGAGAAACTTGGTTTGTTGTACAGTCACCATTCCCGTCTTACGGTCGTTCTTGATCTCCATGCCGAGAAAGTAATCGAGCTCACCGAGATCCGTCATTTCGAAGCGTTTGCTCAGCGCCATCTTGGTTGACTTGAGGAGTTCGTTGTTGCTGCTGGCCAGGATGAGATCATCGACGTAGAGCACCACGAGAATCATGTCTTGGTCGTCTCGCTTGATGTAGATGCAGTGGTCCGATTCGCACTTCTTGAATCCCATCTTGATCATGAACCCATCGATTGTTTGGTTCCACATGCGAGGCGATTGCTTCAAGCCGTAGAGTGATCTCTTTAGCTTGCACACATAGTCCGGCTGTGTTGCATCCAGGTATCCGTCCGGCTGGTCCATGTAGATGTCTTCGTTGAGGGAGCCGTTAAGAAACGCTGTCTTGACGTCCATCTGATGTAGCATTAGGCCGTACTTAGCCGCCATACTGAGCACCACACGAATCGATGTGAACTTGGCCACCGGTGCGAAAGTTTCTTCATATTCAACTCCGAATTTCTGTGAGAATCCTTTGGCCACAAGTCTTGCCTTGAAACGTTCAACTTCGCCATCTTGATTCTCCTTTACACGAAAAACCCATCGGCACCCGATGGCCTTGCGACCTTTCGGAAGAGGCACGATTTCCCACGTGTCGTTTCTCTGAAGCGAATCGAACTCCGAGTCACACGCTTCTTTCCACTTGCCGGAGTCGCTTGATTCCATCGCCGACTTGAATGTAGTCGGCGTTTCCCCACTGAATCAACGATGTAGGCTGCTTCAAAATCCATTGCAGCCGCTGACACATGCTCAAGCGACGGACCTCTGTATGTTCTTCGCTTGGGACTTGGAATGACGGTAGCTTTCTCAAGTGATTGAGTGCGCGTGTGTCTCTTGATGTTGCTCTTCGAAGACCTGGTGTCTTCGTTGTCATCGTCGCTCGAGTCCATGTCGTCGTCAGTTTTACCTTCTTCTTTTTCTTCGTCCTCATCATGATCATCAAACTCAACGACACTTGACTCATCGTTGTAGTTGCGCGGACCTTCATCAAACTTGTCTTCCATGAATGTGGCATCGCGACTGATCTTGATCGCTCCTGTTGACACTTCCTCAAATCGATATGACTTCTGGTGTTCGGCGTATCCCAGGAAACGACAGAGTGGTGACTTGGAGTCGAACTTCGCGCGTTTGTCTTGAGGCACTTGAACATACGCGTGGCATCCAAACACTTTAAGGTTGGCCAGAATCGGTTTCTTCATCGTCCACACTTGATATGGAGACTTGTCTTGGTGAATGGCACGTGTTGGACAGCGGTTTCGAAGAAACATCGCCGTCATCACTGCTTCACCCCAGTAGCTCTTTCCCAGTCCAGCGTGTTCCATCATGCAACGCGCACACTCGACCAGCGTGCGATTCATTCTCTCAGCTACTCCGTTTAGCTGAGGAGTATATGGGGGTGTGAACCTTTGTTGTATTCCCCGTTCCGCGCAGAATCGTGCCAGCTTGTCGGACTTGTATTCACCCCCATTGTTGCTTTGAAGGTACTTCACGCGCTTTCCGGTTTGCGTTTCGGCCATCGCAGCGTATTCCATGAACTTCGCCGCAACTTCAGATTTGCTCTTGAGCAGATAGACGACACAGTATCTTGACTTGTCATCAATGAATGTCACGAAGTACCGTTTTCCACTGAAAGTTGCCATCGACATCGGTCCGCATACGTCGCTGTGAATCACTTCGAGGAGTTTGGAGGTGCGAGCTGTAGTGTTTGATTGGAAGCGCACTCGAGTCTGTTTTCCCAGAGCACAACCTTCACACACGTCCCACTTCTTCACCGAAGATATGTCGATGCCAATTCCAATGTTCTTCGTCACGATGCAATTGAGTCCATCGTGACCTATGTGGCCAAGCCGAAGGTGCCAGAGGTACGACTTGGTGCCCCCTTGACATCCCGACGACTTGGCTGCATTTGCTTGTTCCGGCGCCACTGGAGTCATTTGCAGCTTGAACAGTCCTTTACCTTCACGGGCACCAATTTTCCACTTGGTCCCTTTCGCTTCTCCATAGCACCCATCCTTCGTGAACGTCACTGGGCCGACATCCTTGGTGAAGCGGCCGACCGAGAACAGGTTTCTGGATAACTTTGGGATGTGCCACACGTTTGTGAGCACACCTTTCTTCATCCCTTGGGGTGTCTTCATCGACATGACAATGTCCCCACTGCCGATTGCTTGGACGATTCCATCATCCGCGAGATGGACATCCACAGCGTCAAACCCCTTGTAGTTCCGCATGAACTTCTTGGAGCACGTCATGTGCTGCGTCGCCCCGGAGTCGACCAGCCAGATGTCGCTCGATTTCGCAGATGTCGTTTCACCGATCGAAAAGAGGTAGTCGCCCGAGTCTTCTTCTTGAGCGACGTTTGCACGTTGTGATCGATAGCGGTCGCCGCTGTCTTGAGCACGCTGTGGCCGGTGTCTCTCCGTGTTTTCTTGGATGCGCGAGGGGCACTCCGCCATCCAGTGACCAATCTTTCCGCAATTGTGGCACGGCCAGGACTTCTTCACTGGTCGCCCTTTGCGCTGATTGTCCCTTGTGATGAACGCTTGACCTTGCGAAGCTTCATCACCTTTACTTCCTTGCTCCTTCCGCTTCATTTCTTCATGAAGCAGTCGAGACGTCACGAGCTCCCAGCTAAGAGTGTCTGAGCGCGACTCCAAAGCTGTGATCAAGAATTGATACGAGTCACTCAGGCTGCCGAGGAGTGTGATCACCAGATCGTCCTCGCAGACTGGAGCCCCCACCGCTTCTAGCTGTTCCGCCAGCGTCTTGAGCTTGTTGATGTGTTCGAGCACATCGTCGCCTTCTTCCATCATTGTCGTGAAGAAGCGACGGCGCAAGAACAGCTTGTTGGCAAGACTCTTCTTCTCGAAGTGGTCTTCCAACCTTGACCATGCGTCGCATGCACCACTTGCCGACCGGACCAACGGTAGCTGGGAATCTTCCATGGCTAGACAGATCACTGCCATCGCCTTTCTTGACTTCCTCTTGTACGTCGCTTGGTCCAACTGAGTCTCGCACTGTTCCGCCTTGATCTCACCGCTGACGACCTCCCATAGGTCCCGTTCCTCCAGCACCATCTGCATCTTGAACTTCCAGGCGTGGAAGTTAGTTCCATCGAACTTGGAGATGCGGAGGGAGGAGGCGTCCATGGCAGCTAAGCTTGAATTGTTGGCGGTTTCAGAGTCTGACGAACTTGGGCTCATAACCTGATGAACTTTAGACTTCTTGGTCCGAGTGCAAAACGCAAAGTGAATATATATTTATAATAGGTACTTAGTTCGCAACTTTGAATACTACCTCTTGATGAACTTTAGACTTCTTGGTCCGAGTGCAAAACGCAAAGTGAATATATATTTATAATAGGTACTTAGTTCGCAACTTTGAATACTACCTCTAAGCCTATTATTCGCAGTGACGTCATCCAGTGACGTCACCCACTGACGTCACCCACTGACGTCATGCAATGACGTCATCCAGTGACGTCATTTCCTGACTTCGCCCTTACTGGTACATACCGGTACCCACCGGTATAGCGAAGCTTGGTCTTCCACTTGCTTCAACACTTGACGCAGCTTGACGAGGTGTCTTCTTCACAGCCGCTGTCTTTTCAACACTCCCTCTCGACTCGTTAGCTGCGGCACCATGGATCCCAAGTCGATCGCGAATGTTTTCAAATTGTACAGCGGCGATCGGCTTGGTCATCATGTCTGCCAGCATATCTTGAGTCGGGCAATACTCCAAAACGACTTCACCTGATTCCACCTTCTCACGCACAAAATGGTAGCGTATGTCGATGTGTTTTGTTCTCTTATGGAACTCCGGGTTCTTGGCGAGAGCGATTGATCCTTGGTTGTCTTCATACATCTTGATCGCTTCGTCGCTTGTCATCTCACCAAGTTCCCCCAAAAGCACTTTGAGCCATACTGCTTCTTTGGTTGCTTCGGAAAGCGCCATGTATTCTGCTTCTGTTGAAGATAGCGCGACCGTCCGTTGTTTCTGGCTTTTCCAGCTGATGCATCCTCCGCTCATCATGAACACATAGCCGCTTGTACTTCGTCTTGACTCAATGTCGCCGGCCCAGTCTGCGTCGGTGTACCCGCAGATACGGCTTCCTTCTTGACGTGTAAACTCAAGACCATGATTGGGCGTTGCTTGCAGGTATCTCAGCACACGCTTCAAAGCTTGCCAGTGAGTTGGGCATGGGTCGGACGAGAACTGGGATAATGATCCCACTGCAGCAGCTAGATCCGGACGTGTGGCGACCATGAGATACATGATGCCTCCGACAGCACTTCGATATGGCACGTTGCACATGGTGTCTTCGTGCTTGCATTCTTGTTCACACATGTTCTTGGTTAGCTTCAGGCCGGGATCTTGAGGCGTCTTCACTGGCTTGCTGTTATCCATTCCGAACTTGGTTAACACGGACTTGAGGAACTTGGTTTGTTGTACAGTCACCATTCCCGTCTTACGGTCGTTCTTGATCTCCATGCCGAGAAAGTAATCGAGCTCACCGAGATCCGTCATTTCGAAGCGTTTGCTCAGCGCCATCTTGGTTGACTTGAGGAGTTCGTTGTTGCTGCTGGCCAGGATGAGATCATCGACGTAGAGCACCACGAGAATCATGTCTTGGTCGTCTCGCTTGATGTAGATGCAGTGGTCCGATTCGCACTTCTTGAATCCCATCTTGATCATGAACCCATCGATTGTTTGGTTCCACATGCGAGGCGATTGCTTCAAGCCGTAGAGTGATCTCTTTAGCTTGCACACATAGTCCGGCTGTGTTGCATCCAGGTATCCGTCCGGCTGGTCCATGTAGATGTCTTCGTTGAGGGAGCCGTTAAGAAACGCTGTCTTGACGTCCATCTGATGTAGCATTAGGCCGTACTTAGCCGCCATACTGAGCACCACACGAATCGATGTGAACTTGGCCACCGGTGCGAAAGTTTCTTCATAGTCAACTCCGAATTTCTGTGAGAATCCTTTGGCCACAAGTCTTGCCTTGAAACGTTCAACTTCGCCATCTTGATTCTCCTTTACACGAAAAACCCATCTGCACCCGATGGCCTTGCGACCTTTCGGAAGAGGCACGATTTCCCACGTGTCGTTTCTCTGAAGCGAATCGAACTCCGAGTCACACGCTTCTTTCCACTTGCCGGAGTCGCTTGATTCCATCGCCGACTTGAATGTAGTCGGCGTTTCCCCCACTGAATCAACGATGTAGGCTGCTTCAAAATCCATTGCAGCCGCTGACACATGCTCAAGCGACGGACCTCTGTATGTTCTTCGCTTGGGACTTGGAATGACGGTAGCTTTCTCAAGTGATTGAGTGCGCGTGTGTCTCTTGATGTTGCTCTTCGAAGACCTGGTGTCTTCGTTGTCATCGTCGCTCGAGTCCATGTCGTCGTCAGTTTTACCTTCTTCTTTTTCTTCGTCCTCATCATGATCATCAAACTCAACGACACTTGACTCATCGTTGTAGTTGCGCGGACCTTCATCAAACTTGTCTTCCATGAATGTGGCATCGCGACTGATCTTGATCGCTCCTGTTGACACTTCCTCAAATCGATATGACTTCTGGTGTTCGGCGTATCCCAGGAAACGACAGAGTGATGACTTGGAGTCGAACTTCGCGCGTTTGTCTTGAGGCACTTGAACATACGCGTGGCATCCAAACACTTTAAGGTTGGCCAGAATCGGTTTCTTCATCGTCCACACTTGATATGGAGACTTGTCTTGTGTTGAAAAGACAGCGGCTGTGAAGAAGACACCTCGTCAAGCTGCGTCAAGTGTTGAAGCAAGTGGAAGACCAAGCTTCGCTATACCAGTGGGTACCGGTATGTACCAGTAAGGGCGAAGTCAGGAAATGACGTCACTGGATGACGTCATTGCATGACGTCAGTGGGTGACGTCAGTGGGTGACGTCACTGCGAATAATAGGCTTAGAGGTAGTATTCAAAGTTGCGAACTAAGTACCTATTATAAATATATATTCACTTTGCGTTTTGCACTCGGACCAAGAAGTCTAAAGTTCATCAGGTTATGAGCCCAAGTTCGTCAGACTCTGAAACCGCCAACAATTCAAGCTTAGCTGCCATGGACGCCTCCTCCCTCCGCATCTCCAAGTTCGATGGAACTAACTTCCACGCCTGGAAGTTCAAGATGCGGATGGTGCTTGAGGAGCGGAACTTATGGGAGGTCGTCAGCGGTGAGATCAAGGCGGAACAGTGCGAGACTCAGTTGGACCAAGCGACATACAAGAGGAAGTCAAGAAAGGCGATGGCAGTGATCTGTCTAGCCATGGAAGATTCCCAGCTACCGTTGGTCCGGTCGGCAAGTGGTGCATGCGACGCATGGTCAAGGTTGGAAGACCACTTCGAGAAGAAGAGTCTTGCCAACAAGCTGTTCTTGCGCCGTCGCTTCTTCACGACAATGATGGAAGAAGGCGACGATGTGCTCGAACACATCAACAAGCTCAAGACGCTGGCGGAACAGCTAGAAGCGGTGGGGGCTCCAGTCTGCGAGGACGATCTGGTGATCACACTCCTCGGCAGCCTGAGTGACTCGTATCAATTCTTGATCACAGCTTTGGAGTCGCGCTCAGACACTCTTAGCTGGGAGCTCGTGACGTCTCGACTGCTTCATGAAGAAATGAAGCGGAAGGAGCAAGGAAGTAAAGGTGATGAAGCTTCGCAAGGTCAAGCGTTCATCACAAGGGACAATCAGCGCAAAGGGCGACCAGTGAAGAAGTCCTGGCCGTGCCACAATTGCGGAAAGATTGGTCACTGGATGGCGGAGTGCCCCTCGCGCATCCAAGAAAACACGGAGAGACACCGGCCACAGCGTGCTCAAGACAGCGGCGACCGCTATAGATCACAACGTGCAAACGTCGCTCAAGAAGAAGACTCGGGCGACTACCTCTTTTCGATCGGTGAAACGACATCTGCGAAATCGAGCGACATCTGGCTGGTCGACTCCGGGGCGACGCAGCACATGACGTGCTCCAAGAAGTTCATGCGGAACTACAAGGGGTTTGACGCTGTGGATGTCCATCTCGCGGATGATGGAATCGTCCAAGCAATCGGCAGTGGGGACATTGTCATGTCGATGAAGACACCCCAAGGGATGAAGAAAGGTGTGCTCACAAACGTGTGGCACATCCCAAAGTTATCCAGAAACCTGTTCTCGGTCGGCCGCTTCACCAAGGATGTCGGCCCAGTGACGTTCACGAAGGATGGGTGCTATGGAGAAGCGAAAGGGACCAAGTGGAAAATTGGTGCCCGTGAAGGTAAAGGACTGTTCAAGCTGCAAATGACTCCAGTGGCGCCGGAACAAGCAAATGCAGCCAAGTCGTCGGGATGTCAAGGGGGCACCAAGTCGTACCTCTGGCACCTTCGGCTTGGCCACATAGGTCACGATGGACTCAATTGCATCGTGACGAAGAACATTGGAATTGGCATCGACATATCTTCGGTGAAGAAGTGGGACGTGTGTGAAGGTTGTGCTCTGGGAAAACAGACTCGAGTGCGCTTCCAATCAAACACTACAGCTCGCACCTCCAAACTCCTCGAAGTGATTCACAGCGACGTATGCGGACCGATGTCGATGGCAACTTTCAGTGGAAAACGGTACTTCGTGACATTCATTGATGACAAGTCAAGATACTGTGTCGTCTATCTGCTCAAGAGCAAATCTGAAGTTGCGGCGAAGTTCATGGAATACGCTGCGATGGCCGAAACGCAAACCGGAAAGCGCGTGAAGTACCTTCAAAGCGACAATGGGGGTGAATACAAGTCCGACAAGCTGGCACGATTCTGCGCGGAACGGGGAATACAACAAAGGTTCACACCCCCATATACTCCTCAGCTAAACGGAGTAGCTGAGAGAATGAATCGCACGCTGGTCGAGTGTGCGCGTTGCATGATGGAACACGCTGGACTGGGAAAGAGCTACTGGGGTGAAGCAGTGATGACGGCGATGTTTCTTCGAAACCGCTGTCCAACACGTGCCATTCACCAAGACAAGTCTCCATATCAAGTGTGGACGATGAAGAAACCGATTCTGGCCAACCTTAAAGTGTTTGGATGCCACGCGTATGTTCAAGTGCCTCAAGACAAACGCGCGAAGTTCGACTCCAAGTCATCACTCTGTCGTTTCCTGGGATACGCCGAACACCAGAATGATGAACTTTAGACTTCTTGGTCCGAGTGCAAAACGCAAAGTGAATATATATTTATAATAGGTACTTAGTTCGCAACTTTGAATACTACCTCTAAGCCTATTATTCGCAGTGACGTCATCCAGTGACGTCACCCACTGACGTCACCCACTGACGTCATGCAATGACGTCATCCAGTGACGTCATTTCCTGACTTCGCCCTTACTGGTACATACCGGTACCCACCGGTATAGCGAGGCTTGGTCTTCCACTTGCTTCAACACTTGACGCAGCTTGACGAGGTGTCTTCTTTACAGCCGCTGTCTTTTCAACACTCCCTCTCGACTCGTTAGCTGCGGCACCTTGGATCCCAAGTCGATCGCGAATGTTTTCAAATTGTACAGCGGCGATCGGCTTGGTCATCATGTCTGCCAGCATATCTTGAGTCGGGCAATACTCCAAAACGACTTCACCTGATTCCACCTTCTCACGCACAAAATGGTAGCGTATGTCGATGTGTTTTGTTCTCTTATGGAACTCCGGGTTCTTGGCGAGAGCGATTGATCCTTGGTTGTCTTCATACATCTTGATCGCTTCGTCGCTTGTCATCTCACCAAGTTCCCCCAAAAGCACTTTGAGCCATACTGCTTCTTTGGTTGCTTCGGAAAGCGCCATGTATTCTGCTTCTGTTGAAGATAGCGCGACCGTCCGTTGTTTCTGGCTTTTCCAGCTGATGCATCCTCCGCTCATCATGAACACATAGCCGCTTGTACTTCGTCTTGACTCAATGTCGCCGGCCCAGTCTGCGTCGGTGTACCCGCAGATACGGCTTCCTTCTTCACGTGTAAACTCAAGACCATGATTGGGCGTTGCTTGCAGGTATCTCAGCACACGCTTCAAAGCTTGCCAGTGAGTCGGGCATGGGTCGGACGAGAACTGGGATAATGATCCCACTGCAGCAGCTAGATCCGGACGTGTGGCGACCATGAGATACATGATGCCTCCGACAGCACTTCGATATGGCACGTTGCACATGGTGTCTTCGTGCTTGCATTCTTGTTCACACATGTTCTTGGTTAGCTTCAGGCCGGGATCTTGAGGCGTCTTCACTGGCTTGCTGTTATCCATTCCGAACTTGGTTAACACGGACTTGAGGAACTTGGTTTGTTGTACAGTCACCATTCCCGTCTTACGGTCGTTCTTGATCTCCATGCCGAGAAAGTAATCGAGCTCACCGAGATCCGTCATTTCGAAGCGTTTGCTCAGCGCCATCTTGGTTGACTTGAGGAGTTCGTTGTTGCTGCTGGCCAGGATGAGATCATCGACGTAGAGTACCACGAGAATCATGTCTTGGTCGTCTCGCTTGATGTAGATGCAGTGGTCCGATTCGCACTTCTTGAATCCCATCTTGATCATGAACCCATCGATTGTTTGGTTCCACATGCGAGGCGATTGCTTCAAGCCGTAGAGTGATCTCTTTAGCTTGCACACATAGTCCGGCTGTGTTGCATCCAGGTATCCGTCCGGCTGGTCCATGTAGATGTCTTCGTTGAGGGAGCCGTTAAGAAACGCTGTCTTGACGTCCATCTGATGTAGCATCAGGCCGTACTTAGCCGCCATACTGAGCACCACACGAATCGATGTGAACTTGGCCACCGGTGCGAAAGTTTCTTCATAGTCAACTCCGAATTTCTGTGAGAATCCTTTGGCCACAAGTCTTGCCTTGAAACGTTCAACTTCGCCATCTTGATTCTCCTTTACACGAAAAACCCATCGGCACCCGATGGCCTTGCGACCTTTCGGAAGAGGCACGATTTCCCACGTGTCGTTTCTCTGAAGCGAGTCGAACTCCGAGTCACACGCTTCTTTCCACTTGCCGGAGTCGCTTGATTCCATCGCCGACTTGAATGTAGTCGGCGTTTCCCCCACTGAATC